TTTCCCTACCAAGTGATCAGCAAAGCTCAGATGCATGAGATTACCGAAAACCTCTCATAGCTTATGTCAGGGTTTGCTTCTGAAATCAGTTTATTTATACAAGTAAAAGCAAAGATCAGTTTCTGGAACTTGTCATGCTTACTAACAACATACACATTAAAATGAAAAATGGTACATGGTGGTCTTATCTCTACTTTTAGTAAAGGGAAAAAGTTTTGTAATTACAGAAGCCTCTTTTCCTTTGCACTCGCTTTTGCTTTAAAGGTGGTTGCCACTATTCTCACCCAAAGCAAATCTCTTACACATTTCACGTCTTGGATGATGCTAGTTGCTACAGATTGAAGACAGGCAACTTAAAAAAAAAAAAATTGTCACAGCTTATAGTTTGTTGTGGTTAAAGTGAAAAAACTCCTATGAATATGGGGATTAATAGAGTTGTGACTTTGATTCTCTGGGGGGGAAAAATGCTTGCATGAGTATCTGAAAAATTACTTTAATCCAAAAACTGAGTGTAATCAAAGTAAGGCATTAAAAGTGGTTTCCAGCACTAATTTGCCTCCCAAGGGAACATTGAACTGTGCTGTTTTGGTGTCACTCACTTTTCATAAGAGCTATAAACTAGGCTTGATCTAGGCCTTGCCATCTATTGGTTTTTGGCCCTCCATTACATTTTTCCATCTTAATTCCCAGTACTCCATGATCAGAACAAATACAATTTGAACCTGGTGTATAACTTGTGGGAAGATGCTACTAATGTTAACTGAAATGGAAATGAGTGAACTTGTACTAACTGGGAATTCAAGGGAATGTGCCAACCGATGATTTTAATTTCTAATAAAATGTTTTTTTATTTAGGAGGCTTGAATTATGGGATGGAGTTAAGAACCTCTTTATTTTCTGTTTAATCACTTTGCTGAAACATTAGGACAGAAGTTCGTTATGTTCTTTCTCAAATATAGCAGAGCTTTCCGAGTTAACACTGAGCTCTAGAATTTAGAATGGCATATGTGAAGAAGGTTGCAGTTTTGCAGTCAAATCTTAGCGCACAATATTGGCTCAAGATCTGGGTACAAGCAAGGGTGAAAGGCTGCATATTATTTGGTTATTCTGTACATGGCTGTGTTGTCTGCTCCCTGAGTTCTGTTTTCCTGAGCTGCTGACCCCCCCCAGAGAGTATGAAGCACGGTTAGAGAGATACAACGAAAGAATATGGACATGTAAAAGCACAGGAAGCAGCCAGCTGACGCACAAAGAAGCCTGGGAGGAGGAGCAGGAAGTTTCTGAGCTGTAAGTAACATACATACCATGTTTACACTATCTTTCCAAACTGGGCTTAATCTGGAAGGGTGCATGGCTGCCAGCTGTCCAGCAAGGAACTTGTTGTAGTCGTTGTGACTAATTCTTGAGGATCCCATTGATAGAATTTGCATATTCTGTGTGCAATGCAATGCTCTCACTGATGTAGCTCAGTCTTCATTGGTGTTTCTTGAAGTGTGCCTCTTCATGTTACCTTAACAATGCAGTTTTTGAGATGCCAAATCTTGTACTTTGGATTACGACTCCAGGGTGGCGGGGAATAATGTCTAAAACAAATGCAAAACAGAAGTGGCTTTTGGCAGGTTCAACAGAGAGGTGATGGGCATATTAGTTAGCTCTGCAGCAGCAGTAAGTCTCCTCCCTTTCCTCACCACCATGATCTGTGCAGGCCTCAACCAGATGTTGGTGCATTTAGTAAAACAATATTTTGGAATAAAGTACTTGTGATCTGTTCCACTTCAAACAAATATGAAGAAAAAACTGCAAAACGAGTTCTTTCAGGCTCTATGTCAGTGGTTCTCAACCTTTTTTAGACTGAAGGAACCCCTAATTATCCACAGACCACCCTGCAACAGGTGCAAGGCACTCCTTTATAACTTTAGTGAATTGAGGCACCCAATTTAAAAAATGAACTTATTTATTACAGTGCTTGCCTCCTTGCAGAGAGGCCAGGCATTGGGGGAAGGGGAACTGCCAGGCAGGGATGAATGTGAGCCTGCACATATCTGTTTATTCTTGTACCTGGCTCATCTCTTAACACTCCAAGGCACCCCAAGTTGCCCTGGCACCCTGGTTGAGAATCACTGGTCTGTTTTCCAAAAGGCTGAAGATCCCCTTGTTGTTAGGCACTCAGAGCAGTGACTGGAGCTCTGGTTTAAATCCAGTATAAAGTTGGCATTGTGAAGAAACCTTATTTTAGGTGCAAGTCTGTGGCTAAACTAATTTGAGTATCTTATTTCTTTCTTGTTCTACCCAGTAAAAACTGGGAGCTAGCCACCTGCCAATGGGCACGGGTTTCTTTGTTTATGAAGTGGTGACTTTCTTTTCCTAAAAATGTCCTATTCCACTTGTGGTGGTGATGTCAGCAGATAGAAGTTCTCATAAGACAAATCCAGTTTACTGCATACGGAATTCAGCCTTACGCTTGGCCTAGGCCAAAGGAGGAATTGTCTAACTATTTTTCATGTCCTGCTTCACTGCATCCTTTTTAACACTTCTCCCCAATTGAAGCCAGAGTCTTAGAGTACTGAAGTCCTACAGAAGGTAGGGCAGGGTGGCACCTCAGAAACTTAGAGGGAAGTACTACTGTCTATGAGCTTTTCCAGTTAATGTTTTTCACTAATAGGGAAACATCTTTCTGAACATATAACTGAGTAATCTTGAAATAACTGAGTCAGAGGATACTTGCTTTGTTTCACTTTCTTTGAGGTAGTGATAAAATAACTTCCTGTGCCTCTGAAAGTTTTCACTTATATAAGAGAGAGCATTGCAACAATTGAAGTTTGCTACAGCTTTTTTCCCTTACACTGAATATCTGTTGCCATGTGATTTGATATTTAAAACAAATCTTGTTGTTTCAGGGCTGTGATATCTTTGTGTAATCACAGCTCTATGATTTGAAACATGAACTGAATGTGTATAGTCACATCAGACAGTGTTTGTCCCATGAAGGAATACATGAGATAGTAACAGTAGAAATGAGTAACAATTTAAGTGAGGATTCAGTCCACAAGAATTGTTTTAATTTGAAAATATCTAAGTTTTCTTGGTGGAGTATACTTCCCTTCCCTTATTAAAACAATCAATTGGCCAAACTTGATTTTTGGTCCATTAGCAAAAGGAATTGTATGTAACATCTGAATATTCATACCAACTAACTTATTGACCTGTTTCCCTTCTAAGAAAAGAGGATAGACAAACCTGCTGCACCCATTCTTTGTATTTGACCATAAAGCTTTTTGCTCCACAAATTCAGGATCTTTCAGCAGTATTGGCTGTGTCAAGGGATGGAACATGCAATACTTAGCTCTGTCCAGTTATTTTTAATGTACTTTAATATTTAGTTAAGCTATGATCTACCCTACTAACTGAATTATCAAAAGTTTAAAATTGGAATTTTGTCAGAGTACAGATTTAACATGTTGGGGGGAAACAAAATGTTAATTATGGCTGTAATATTACTGAAGGGAAAACTTGTTTTTAAGATAAGTGACATGATAATGATATGTTGATGTTTCTTGTTCTGAATTTATATGCCTGTTTTGGACAGAGTAACTTTATTAAATGTTAGCAGTGCAGAAGCCAGCCCAAATGTCTAAGACTAAAACAGCCTTATTTAATTGGTAGGAATCATAATTAAAGTGTTTCCTGGTCAGTAACTCAAAATATTTTTTTTAATAGTTTACCCTTAATGGGGAGACAAGAATAGTCAGTAAGATAGGCATTAATTATATGGCCCTGTTGACCAGATACGCAAGTTTGTGGTGCTGACCCTGTGAGTATTTGTCAGTGATAAAATCTAGCAGACCTTTTTCATTATATATTGTACTGTGGTGTCAGATTAAAGCATTAGCTTAACCATCAGTGTTCTCAGAACCATGAAACAGGAGATTGTATTGAATTTCCTGTTTTGTTAGCTGGGTAATATAAACTTTTTTCACGTCCTTGTTCAGCCTGAAGGAAGAATTCCCCATCTGGTATGAGAAATTGGTACTGGAAATGGTGCACCATAACACAATCTCTTTGGAAAAGCTGGTAGATGCAGCCTGGTTGGAGATCATGACCAAGTATGCAGTGGGTGAAGAGTGCGACTTTGAGGTGAGGACCTGGGTTCAAACAATTGCTGTGCTTTTGCTCAATGCCCTAACTCCTCAGGAGTGAAAGGAGATCATAGGTGATGTTCCCCCTCCGCCTTATGATGGTTATCTACATGTATGGCATGAACGTTACCTCTTTGTGGAATCCCTTTGATAGAACCCACTCCTCAAACAATAGTCTGGAAACCTGTTCTTTAAATAGGGGCACATGACAGACTTGTGCTAGTGTCAACAGATAGGAGTGACTTGGACAAAAGAATCATAGAAGGGGGTCACATCTAACTGCTACTGCGTCCCGCCACATACCATGTTTCTAGTAGGAATTCTAGATCAAAACTGGCAGCTTGCAGTACTTTACAATTCCCTATTTGAACAGTCCTTGAGCAGTGGCAGAAGCTCAAATAGTTTTTAGAAAGGAAACCTTCCATAGGGCAGGACATTTTGGATTAAGTTTGGTCCCCTTTTCTGATCTTGGGTGTCTTGAATGGCATCATGTGCCTCTGGAATGCTAAGTAATCTGCATTAATGAAAGCCAGAGGAATCTATGAGATTCTTCCTTTCATAATATGCCAAAGTAGAGCGAGATCCTCATCCTTTAGCAGAGGAAACTATTCGCAGAGAACATGGTTTAAAATATGCTGTTAAGCTGTGGGGGGGAGGATGGTTATACTGTTTTCCCTCCCCTCCAAGTGTTAATGCTCATGAGCTCAAATTTCTTGCCCAGTCTTGATGTGTTTTTCTGCTCAGGTTGGGAAGAAGATGCTTCCAGTGAAAGTTGTAAAGATACATCCATTAGAGAAGCTGGATGAGGAGGCTTCTGAGAAAAAGTCTGATGGTGTCTGTGACTCTCCATCCAGTGACAAAGAAAATTCCAGCCAGATTTCCCAGGACAACCAGAAGGAGTCAATCCTGAAGGAGGATGACAACAGGAGGGAGAGTATGAGTAAGTAACAAATAGCCCACTTAATAGACTGTGGTTTGGGTGAATGGGAAATGCATTCCTGTTGCTTTTTCTCAGGCCTGGGTTATGAAGTACTAAATATGGTCTTTAGAGGGCATTGTTTAATTGTCAGACATCTTTAGTACTGAATTAAAGAGCACTATTAGTCTCTAGCTACATGTAACTTATTACAAAGCAGCAAATGTGCCATGGTCTTTTGGTTTTCTTAAGGTCATATGGTATATGCCTGCAGTCAGGGAATTTTACAGTACTTCCCCAGCCAATAAAAATCATTGTCTGGGGAAAAAAAAAAAATTGTGTGCTTGAAGTACCTAGAGTTCTAAACAGGTGCTAATTTCTAGATTTGCGTTTGTGTGATATAGTCATGTGAATCTTTCATCAGAAGTCTTATTAAAGAAACTGTACTTGAGTTTTGATTAGGACCCATGTCAGTTTGTGCATGGTGACTTTTAGCAAAATGGAGCGTTGTCGACATGAACAGTTGAAATGAGCTGAAGGAGGAAATACCATGCCCTTCTGCAAGGTTGGAAATACTTGGTGAATCCAGAGACAACTGTAATAAGGTATATAGGTTGATAGATTGGAAGTAGGCACAGACTTGGAGCCTGGAGGCAAATCTCCTGGAATTAAATTTTTTAGTCTCAAACACATGAATGTAGAAGGACATAATGGTATAAGAAATACAGAAGAACCATGGATAGCAGCAACACACAAGTAAAGGTTATGTTGAATTGTTAAATTCTGTTGCAACTCTTTTTCTTCCCTCTGTGGCCCCTCTGGAAAACCAACCAAGCCCGTCTCTGAACTGTGCAGCTTTCCAGTGTATATTCAGTATCTAACAGTTTCTCACCTTTCTGATAGACGTTCAGAACTAGTTGTTTCCTTCAAACTAAGATCTGGTCAGAAAATGAAAAAACACCTATGTGACAAACTGTTCATATTATACATGTTTCAAGTTAAACAGAACAAATATCCTCTTTGACACAAGTTATGACACTATGAGTGTTCAAGCCTTCCTCTTTCTAATAGGGGGAGTAACTCCGGTAGTGAAATGTGTTAGACTCTGACTCCACGCAGCGCCCAGCAACTAGGGAGACAACGATCCAATTGCTCAGAGAGCAAATACCGGCACACATTGCTAGCAACAGCTTCATTCAAAATGGAGGCAGCTTCAGGCAAGCTCCCAAAGAAACCGGGTAGCAGCCATGAACATTGGTTCTTTCTACATTTATACACCTTGGTTTATGCTTATTAACATTTACTCCACCTTTTGTCCCACCTTTTTTCCACCCATATTCCCTCCTATCTCAAGCTCTGCCTCTATTTACTGTTTGTTTCATTAGCATGACATTACCTATGCATTTCACTCATTTACATGTCTTTTTGCTATGAGCACATGCCTAAGACTTTGACTTCTGCTTTCTCCGGTCACTTGCTGTTTCTTGCTGACTTCTTCATCTCCAAGGTCTTACTTCTGCTCATCTCCAACAATAGCTGGTGGGCTGCATCCTGTTCTCCTTACACAATGAGCTATATATCTTACAACACTGTGACCTTGTTAGAAAAATGCTTGCCTAAGCATCTTGCAATGTTACTTTTTAATATATCATTCTGCCCTGCTGTTGTGGGAGCCCACCAGGCTTCCCCTGGTTCCTGTCATTTTTGGCAGGAACCAAGGGCAGATAAATATTGATTTTTCTAAATTTTTTTAGGGGCCTCGCAGGCCAAATAGAATGGCCTCGCAGGTCGGATGCGGCCCGCGAGCTGTATTTTGCCCACCCCTGGGCTAAAGCCTCTTATTCAGCTGCAAATCCAATGCTCCCCAAGATCTAAATACAGTCAACCTAACAAAATGGAGTATTTTGTTGCCACAGATGGGCTTTGAGTGTAAGCATATCCTAGGTTTTCCCATCAGAAATGGAGTACTTCTGGCAAACTTTGTTGGTAGTCTAGGCCACAGAAACTTCGTATTTGTTGTTGTACGCAAAAAAATTTAGCTTTGTAAAGGGACTATTTTATAATAATTTTTCATGGGGACTACGTAACAGGTCGCCCTCCCCAGCACCATCTTCCCTGTTAATCCGCGCCTTATGTGGGGCGCCCTTGGAGTCTTCTTTGGAGTTCTTATGTCCCACACTCTACTCGCCTGCCACGTCTTGATGGAAATTATTGTTGATGTTCTTGCGAGCGGGAGACTGCCTATTTTGTATGTTGGGGTCTTTCGCCTACACGGGCCTGACCCCTGTCTTTCTCTAGCTAGGCCTCCCTGTCTAAAACCCACCACACAGGGTTTGACTCTAGCCTTTTCCTGTGTCAGGCCTTGTTACAATTTGGCCCCTTGGTCCTCCTCGGGCTCCCTGCAGCCCTGTCTCGCTCCGTGTCTCCCTAGCGCTCGGTCTCCCTGCAGCCCTGTCTCTCTCCGTGCCTCCCTAGTGCTCGGGCTCCCCATGCTGCCGTGGGTCCCCTATGAGGCCTCCTCTATCCCCTAATAGCCTCACCCAAGCCACCAGTCTTATTCAATAATCAAAAAAAAAAAAAAAGAAAAAATAACTGCCACCAACCAATATGATCAAGCAAAGCAGCAGGTCCGCTTACATTCGCCGGGTTCGTGCTTCAGTTCCCTACAGTCCTTGCTGTGGTGCAGCTGCCGTCCCTCCACAGCTTCTGTAGTTCCCGCCTTTGGGCTGCTCACCCAGCTTCTCTGCAGAGCTCTCGGAGGCACTCCTTCCCCTTCGGCTGCTGTCCCCCTTACTGCCGCTCTGCCCAGGGTTTTTATAGTCCTGCCTCTTCCGGTCAGTTGACTAGCTGGCTAGGTTCAGCATTTAACCCTTTCCTTACCACACTCCATACCCAGAAAGTTTTGGCCTTAAAGGGGCTGACCTGCTTTCTGGTGACAGAGCTAGGGTTCCCCATTACAGGCTATTAGAAAATTTCTTGAAAGAAACCTCAGCAAGCTCAAATCGGGCTAAATATCAAAGCTTATCATAAAGGCACTTGTATTTAACATGCACTTCAGAAATGTAAACTAACTCTTGTAGTACTTGAAGGTGAGTATAATGTAAGTATAATATCCATTTCATACTCCCTCTACGCATTCAGGTAAAGGTGAGATGGGATCTAATGCATGATCCACACAATCATGCCTCCTACCATGCCATATGTGCATGGCAGGATGCATGATTGTGGGATTACGCATGAGATTCCATCATGTCTTATTGCTGGTGCAGGGGGAACCCAATCCTGGGCTCCTCTTGCACCAGCAAGAAGCAGTTGAGGGGCTTCCAACCGCAAGGGTGCCCCACTCACCCTGAGGCTGGGAGGTCAAAGCAGCACTGGTCCCCCAGGCCCAGGGTTTTCACACACCACCCAGGGCAGCCACACCCTGGCTGCCAGGACCCAGCTGGCTTCAGGCACCCAGTGTCCATAGCTGTAGGAGTTGGCCCTTGTGCTGACGGGAACCAGAGTCTGCAGCTGCTGGGGCCCCATAGTTGTGAAACTCCCAGCTCTGGTTGGGTATGGTGCACCCCTGAGGTTGGGAGCCTCGTCAGCTGGCAGGCTGCTATAAGTATAAGTTAAAGCTTGATAGCAACCAGCTATAAACTTAGTATACATTTTCAAGTTCTAACGTTATAGTTAGTTGGAGCCTTTTCTGGCTTGCTAGCTACTTTGTATGTGTAGCTGGTCTTAAGGTAATTGCACAATTAACCAGTTAATTGTGCAATACCTGTAAATGTGTAGAGGGGGCCACAGATGAGTAAACTGAGAAATAAAGTGAAATGGCTTATCTTGAGTGACAAAGCAAGTTACTTGCAAAACCAGGACTGGAATTAGCTTCCAACTTCTAGTTCAACACTTAATCTGCTACAGAATTTCTGTGCCAATCCTGAGCAGTTGTATTAATGGGAAACTCATGCTTTGAATTGTTGACCATGTAAATGTTGTGGTAACCGTTGTAATGGACCTTTATTGTCTGCGATAGTGTTAATATATAGGGAGATACCCTGACTCTGAATTCTGAATCTGTGAAGCAATAAAGTGCTGCATTAGTAATGCTTGCATTAGGGCTAATGCCTACTGGGAAAGGAGAATATAGGAGATGTTCTCACTGAGGAGTAATTCAATTAATTTTCTTGCCAGTATGGAACATCGCTTTCAGTCTGTTTAAAATAACGCATTGATTCAATTCAGAATAACATTTTAGTGTTTGTCGGAACTTAATTGAACAAAATATTGCAGAGCACAAAACTAAATATGTTAATTTCTGAAGGCGCTGGTTAAGAAAGGTATAATTCCATTTATAAGAGGGATGGCATCATGATTGTCAGGATGTTATGTGAGTACTTAATTCCATACAGAATAGTTCCTTAATAAAAATGGGAAGTGTACACAATTATGTATTGAATATTAAGCATTCATGTGTATTTTTGTCTGTGCTCTGCTGCCCATACAGATGTTAGTAATGCAGCCCAGCAGTGTCCAGCCAGTAAGTCGGGTGGGGGCGAGAAGGGGTATGGGAGGTGCAGCTAGAGGCCCGCATGGTGAGGGAGGGAGTGGGGCAGAGGCAGGGTCAGATGTTGTCCAGCCAGGACAATGAATATGAGCCTGGGAGGGGTGAACATGGTGAATTTTGGGGTGGCCATAGCCCACTCTGTAGCCATCCCTCTCAGAGACACTGCTGCCACCCACCTGGAGCACAGCCTCAGCCCAGCCCCTCCTTCTGGGAAGAGGCCTGCACAAGTGGCTCTGAGCCCACAAAGGACAGACTGCCCTTGCCCCATGCACAAAGCCAGGGCGCACATGCCCCCATACCTCCCCTGGGGGTCCATGGAGCAATGGGGAGCTGCCTTGCCCCCTGAACCTTCTGCACCCCCTGAATGAGCTGCCCATGGCTCTGCCCCACTCCCAGTGGGGTCATATTCATGGCCCTGATTGGGCAGCCCCTGCTCCTGCCCCTGCCCCACCCCGTCCTTCGCTGTGGGGGCCTTGATCTGCTCCACCCCCACCCCTTCCCCCCTCACAGACTTACAAGCAGGGAGCTGCTGTCTAAGCTGCCGGGCTGCATATTGGCTATCTGATCAGTATCTGCCGATACGGCTGGTTAATAATTGGCTGTTGGTATCGGCCAAAAAAATCTTTATTGGTGCACCCCTAGTTTCTTGGTTTTTCTTCTAAGAAACTGGAATCACAGAAGTGATATGCTGAAAGCCATGTGCAGACCAGTGGCAGAGCCAAGAGTAGACCCCAGGTCTTCTGAACCACTGGTTCTATCTGACAGACACATATTTGGCATTCTTAAACTTGAACCTGTTATATACACTGTTGATATCTATTCTGTTAACATGTCGTAGTGTTCAGGCATTCAGATTTTTTCTAATGCAGCTTTTTCAGACTTGCAGCGTCTGACTCACAACTTTCATTGTATTTATTCAGTGATGACATAAACTGGTAATGCTGCCTCAGTGACTAGAATCAGAACCAAATTATCACTTTCAGTGTCTGCTAAACTGCTTACAGATATTTGCAAAACAAAAGTGAACAAAAGGCAAAACCTGAGTTGTGTGTCCTGAGCCTTTTCCATCTGCCTTGCCAAGATCCATCTCTTCTCAGGTGCCTTGTTGTCTCTGCTCTGGCTCTTCGTGCCTTTCAGCTCAAGGCAAGAAATTCCGTAATGTGTAGATCTGGGGTCAGTCCCTTCTAGCTTATTTGGAAACTTAAAGCTAATGCAGAATGAGGCTGCTTACTTATTAAGTGTGTAGGGAGCCCATTATACTTGTGCTTTGTAATCTAATCCTTGCTTCTGGCCTGTTTAGTTTAAAGGCTGGTGTTTTAATCTGTAGAGATTAAATAATGCTTTGGAGAACTGGTTGTTGGAGACTGATTCTCTTGCTATGTGGTTATGTTGTAGATAGCATACCTTTTTTCTTTTAAATGTAAGGAACTATAAAGCATGATTTTCAGTTGAGTCTGTCTGGTGAAGGAACCTAAGCATGGGTACTTTTTTCCCTCCAGTCTTTTGTTTATCAGATCTCAGTTGCCTTCTGGGTAGATAGTAATGCAATCTTTATTTATTTATTTATTCCCTCCTTTATATTCATTTCAGTGTTGTTAAATGCTAATGTTGCATGGATAAGTCATTGCTCGGTATTGATGGATAGACAATGCCCTTCAGTAGCTAAGATATTTAGAGCTGTTGGTCAGTACTTAATACAGTACTATTACTTAAAAAGAAAAACAGTGACATAAACAAGTCTGTTTCTGTTCCAGGGCAATATTTTATAACTTGTTGATAGCCATAAAAAGCAAACATAACTTTTAGTCTATTTAAAAGGGGAGGGGGAGCTTCAGGTCCAAAGGGTGCTTTAGTTGTATGATATAATTGTTACCTCTGCATGCTGCTAGGTTATCTGAATTGCTGTAGCTTTAACTTTGAATGAGCCAGTGTGAAAATGGCAAAGAGTTAGCACTTGTATCTCTACCAGAATTTGAAGATGTAACAGTTACATCATGCAGGGGTTTAGGTTGTAGCCGTGTTGGTCTAACCTTGTCTGCTGCAGTTACATCATGACAGTTTACACTTTTATCATTTGGTTACAAGGCTCTTAAAACTTTTTACTACCCTATGTGCATTTAAGCAAATAATTATTCAGTTCAGGAATACTGGTATTACTGTTCTTGTTTGTCATGGCATGAATGTAAAGATTAAAATCTAGAGATGTATTTTCTACAGTCAGATTTTTATTGAAGGTATTTTAAGGAGGAGCACATGCTTCTAACTGTTCTCCAGCCAAGAAATAAGCCTCTGTTTACTCTAGGTGGAGTTGTATAGTTTCTTTGAATATATTAATGTTTGTAGTAAAGTTGCTTGGTTAATGGATTCAATGGCAGCTGTTGAAAAGTGATCCTTTTAGAAACACTTAAACTACAGCTTTTTTCAGAACATGAATTGACATGGAAAATACTTCATGTGAACCCCTTTTTAGAAACTCCATATTTAAGAACTGCTGTATTAGATGGGAGGGGGTGAAACCGTTAAAATTAGATTATTTTTCATTTCCCCAAATATCACTGGTTTGATCAAATGCATCAGCTATATTGATAGTTCCTTGTTAAAAGCTGGCAGGGATAACAGTCTGTGATTAAGAAACTTTATCTCAGTGCCATTTAATCTCAGCCTGTCTTTACTGTGATGTAGAATCTACTCCCCTCTTAAGGTTGCTGCACTGGCTAGGCATAAGTAGTTGACCTGAAGCAGTGGCATATTGAAACACTGAGAGCTTCTGTCAAGAGCCCCTTCCTATGATCAGTTCCTCTACCTATTAGTGACCGGTACAGGAATCTCGGGAGGTGTAAAGGACTTGCCTTGTAGATAGCTATTTTTTTTTTTTTAATTTGCACATAAAGGCGTACCACTCTGGATATGAGCTTAAATATGTTTTTCTAAGTGGTGCCCCCTCATATTTTAAGGCTTTCTGTTCTGGGAGGTGTTCTAAGTTTTTTGTTTCACAGTGTCCGAAACTGAGTTTGACGTATTCTAGTGCTCTAGTCTGATCAGAAGTTAAGGTTGTGGGACATCAAAGGAGTGGTAGAGGTCCAAGCATCATCTGTAGCAGCACACTTTGGTCTCTCTGTTTTGAGCACCACACTATTAACTTCCTTATTCTTGCTTAATCAGGTGATCGGGCACGCAGATCCCCTCGGAAGCTTCCTACTTCTCTGAAGAAGGAAGAGAAGAAATGGGTTCCACCTAAATTC